AGTCACGTTTCAGTCTATGCCGGGTTAATATTCAGCCCTCTCGGTTGAGTTCTGCTATGTGGTTGATATCGGTCACCGGTATCTTCTTGCCCATGAAACAGGGTTCAATTTACTTAGGATTTATCGCCTTTCTTGTGAAAAGGCAGATTTCAGTCTACGCCGGGTTAACATTCAGCCCTCTCGGTTGAGTCCTGCTTAGGGCCCTGTTGAGAGCTTTTTTAGCCCTTCTACACAAGTGATTTGGATACTTTCCCTTTATAAAGTATTACGACAGGGTCTGCATAACCATCAATTCTTAATTAGAATCCTTATAAGTCTATTAATCGTCGTTAGCCAGAGTAAATGCGAATGTAGAGAATGGTTTCCCTCCCTAATTTCGTTGACTACTTGGTTCTTGCGGTCCCCGTAAAAACCAGCCGGTATTTCTAATATAAGCGATCATGTTTAGTAGTGACACATCACTGAGACAGTCCAGGTCACGGAAAAGAGCTCTATCTAGATAGCGTAGTCTGTACTCTTGTAAGGCTGGGCAGTCACATATAAGGTGTTGTACCTATTCCTTTTCATCTTCGACCAAACAATTCCTAAAATAGCTATAACGTGGGTAGCCCATACGTTCTGACATATGTATCTCCATTCATACAGTGTCCAGTAATTATACCAGTGAGAAGCCTATTAGAGTTCTTACAAAAAGACAAGAGAGTCTTAGTCCTATCCGTTGTCAGATTGGGCCAAAGTATTCTCGATATTATTCTACAAGTGGTGATATTTGACCATCTTAGTTCTGTCTCACTCATAGCCCAGACATCTATCAATTTTGATAGGGTGAATATCCATTGTAAGAGACCTTTTTCAATGAGCCGCCGCTAGGACCTGGCTGAATAAGAATCTGCTATTTGGTACGTTTTCTGTCCAGGTCATGAGAAGCCTAATCGTGTTCTTACTAAAAGACAAGAGAGTCTTAGTCCTATCCGTTGTCAGATTGGGCCAAAGCAGTCTCGATATTATTCTACAAGTGGTGATATTTGACCATCTTAGTTCTGTCTCACTCAAAGCCCAGACATCTATCAATTTTGATAGGGTGAATATCCATTGTAAGAGACCTTTTTCAAAACACAAGGTCCATTTGTGTCGTCGGTTGTAGATCGTACATACGCAATGAGCCGCCGTTAGGCCCTAACTGAATAAGAATCTGTAAGAGAGTACTACATATATGGTACTTTTACCTCTTACTATATCGAATAAAAGTTTTCCTTTGATGAGACTAGTCTTATCATTTCTTTCAAGAAGTTAAGAGAGTATCGTTTATAATTGCCCGAACTTCTTTAGCCTTTTCTACAAGGCACCTTAGTGAATTGTTTCTTGTAAAATGAACCGAACTTCTTTAGCCTTTTCTACAAGGCACCTTAGTGAATTGTTTCTTGTAAAATGAACTGAACTTCTTTAGCCTTTTCTACAAGGCACCTTAGGGAATTGTTCCTTGTAAAATGTACCACCCTTGAAAGGACGACAACGCTTTGCCAATGAACAAGCAACATTGTTAGAGGCCTATTTTATTACACAACGTCCACTTGTGTCGTCGGTTGTAGATTGTGTCGTACATACATACGCAATGAGCCGCCGCTGGGCCCTGATCGAATAAGAATCTGTAAGAGAGTACTATTTGGTACTTTTTACTTCTTCAAATTTTACCTTTTGAATTTTCATTAGTGAAGCACGACGGTCCTTATTGAAGGAGAACTTATAAGAGGGAGATTTTTCGGTACTTTTTCGTTTGTCAAATGGTACTTTTTTTAATTTTCTATAATATTGATTATAGAAATTTAACACGAAGGGACCTAAGTGAATGAGGTACAAGAAGAAATTTGTTAGCACTTTTTTCTATCATTTTGAACATCGACAAATGAAACTTAACATACACGGTCCTGATTGAATGGGGACTTATAAGAACACAGTTTTTGGTACTGTTTTGTTTTTCAATAGGCTACTGTATATGGGGACTAGAGTCAAATGATCATTATGAAAATCGTCTGTAAGATTTAGATTTATACAAAACTAAGTTTTATATAGATTTTTGTAAAGATACTAGATACTTTTAACATAATTATGAGTTCAAGAGCACTCTTCGGGATGGTGGGGTTCTTTGAGGGCTAGGTGGGGCTTTAAGGGCTAAGTAGACTTTGTCCTTGGCCCAAGATTGTGCGAAATTTTATCAAATTATCTCGAAAATAGAGACATGTAGAGTGCGAACAAGGTTTACCTGTACAGCGAGAGGAACGGACGGACAGACAGATGGACGAACATAAAGACGGCAGGATGGACGGACGGATTGGTTGGTTGGGCCAATAGAAAAGAATGTGTCAAATTTCATCAAATTATCTTGAAAATAGCGATATGTAGCGTGCGAACAAGTTATATATGGGCAGACAGAGATGGACGGACAGATAGATGGACAGACAGACAGGCGGACGGACGGACAGACAGACGGAAATACAGATAGACGAAAGGTTTACATAGGCATCGAGATGGATGGACGGACGGATTGGTTGGGCCAAGAGAAAATAATGTGACAAATTTCATCAAATTATTTTGAAAAATACGACATGTAGCGTGCGTACAAGGTTTATATGGACAGACAGACGGATGGACGGACAGACAGACGATAGAATAAATACCATCATATAAGACAGACAGGCGGATGGAAGGACAGACAGACGGATGGACGGACGGCCGGACTGTTGGACAGACAGACGATCGGATAAATACCATCTACAAGATCTGTTGAAACATTTCATAACTTCTAACACCCCTACCATTACCCTTAAAACCCAGCGTAGGGTATTTAGGCAAAAGAAATGGATTTATGATGAGGTGTTTAATACAATACAAAAAAAGTACAACAAGAAAAAAATACAAAAAAAAAAATAAATGAATTTCAAAAAATATTTTACAACAAAGAAATGTTACAAGTAGAAAAAAACAACAACAACAAGAACAACTGAAAAGCTTATACACAAAACGAATGAACAAGAACAAAAAAAATATGAAATGAACAAAAAAACCCTAAACAGCTCTTGGTTAAAGAAAAAAAACGAACGAACAAACCACAATAACAAAAAAACACAGAGTAAAAGAAAAACAACAACTACAATAAAAACAAAGTTTTCATGGGGGAGGAGAATTATAAATAACAAAAACACACTTGGCTTGCTATGAACTGAACAGGTTGGTTATACAAAACAATGTTCGATGATGTTTACAAAGATTGATGGAGTCTCACTATCTCTATTACTTTAACATTATTTTTCTCTCTCTCTCTCTCTTACTTGTGCTAGTAAGTAATCAGCTAAAACAACCAATCAGCGAGGATTTTAGTTAAGGAGAGTTTGCATTACAGAGAGAGTTGGTGTGTTAGAAAGAGCAAACAAGTTTATGTTGTGGGCTTTTGTATTCACTCTAACTTTCATAATGGTGTCTGCTGAGCATTAAACTGGAAACTTGTTTTTCCAGTTACTGAGGGTTAGATCTCTTTTACTCTTTAGTGAGAGTAGCTTAGACAGTTCTTTTTCTAACACTACAACTACAAAAAGCTACAAACTACAGATGTTTGTTATTGTTGTTTAAACATTTCCCCTGTTTGTTTGTGTTGAAAACTGGTTGGTGGAGGTAATGTTGTTGAAATAAACTAAAATGTTGTTTTGTAGCCAGCAACAGCAATATGTAGCCAGCAAATGATCACATAATCACCTCTCGTACCTAGTCGTTCACGCACTTTGTTCGTGGTTGGTCGCGCAGTCGTTGTGTCGTATCGTATGTAGTTTTGTTGTTTCCCTAACAAATCGTTTGTGTATGTGTGTGAGAGTAAGTGTTTGAAAGAAAATAGAAAATAAAACAACAAAAAAACGTTAGTTTTTAACAACTTCGTTTTACTCCACTCACCCTCTCTCTAACAACAAAACTCTCTTTCTCTCTCTCTTGTTAAGTGTGAGTGAGTGTTTTATTGTTAGTGTATGGAAGCGCGTGTGTTTTGTTGTTGCTGTTGATTTTCGTGATTCCATTGTATTGTGCTGCTGTTGTTGTTATTGTTGTTGCTGCTGAAGTGTTTGGAAAATAATCACACCGTCGCAAATTTTTGATTATGGTCTTTAATGGTTAGTTGTTGATGTTTTTTACAGCGGTAATGTTGTGTGCTGTCTGTCGTGCCGTCACTACGTTTCGAAAAAACTCTCCACACCAAACTCTAGCACCACTATTTGATTACAAAAATTAGTGGGTTTTTTCTTTAACACAAAATCGCCACTAAAGAAAACAACAAAAAAAAAACGCGTAATAATCATTAAATCCAAAATAATAATAATAAAAAAAAAATTCCTCCAAAAAATCTAATTAATAACGCGTCGCGACCGCAAATATAATTAAAAATTACTTAAATTATATCCCTGTTAAAGGGAAATTAAGCAAAATTCTTAATAACAAAAAAATTTTATAAAAAAAGCTTAAAAGCTTAAGAAAAAAGTGCAAAGCTTTAAAAGTGTTTAATGTTTTTAAATAAAAATTTCAATAAAAAATACAAATTAATTAAACTTTACAAAAAAACTAATAAAAAAAAGCTCTAACTCCTTTAAATTCTAAAAAAAAAACTTTTTAAAAAGCTTTTTACAAAAAACACCAAATCTATTTTTATTTTTAATTACAAACAACCCACGCAATTTGGTAAAATTAAAATTTGTTTGTTAGTGTAAATTGTTGTTGTTGTTTTGTTTGTTTTAATCAGTGTCATCAATTTTAATTACACTCATTTTTTGTTGTTGTTGTAACAACCATCAGCTGCTCTAAACTGTAATTAAAAGTTTGTTTACCTTTTTTTTAAGTTGTTATTATTACAAAAGCTCTCTTAAAAAAAACAAAATTTTGAGCTTAAAAATTTAAAAAAAATTACAAAAACCTGTAAAAATATAAAAAAAAAATTTTACTAAAAAATAAATTTATTAAATAAAACATCAAAACACGTGCAAAATTATCATTAAACAACTGCCATTTTTTTAAACCCAAAAAAAAAAAAAAACAAATTTAAACAAAAAATCTTAAAAAAAAGCTTTAAAGCTTCATTAAGTGTTTGATTTTTCTGTGTGTTGTGTGCTTAATAAAAAGCCTTCAAAATTCTAGATAAAGTGGCCTCAATAGGCGCCAACACGCTTAATTTCACTGATTTAGGGAGCCCCTACGAGGGGCCTCCCAGTACACCACAATCCGGCATGGATGCACCGGATGCTCCGCATACCCCCAAATATATGGATGGTGGTTCGACTACGAGTATAACACCCGGCGCTGGTTCTGGCGGTGGTGGTGCCAGTGGGCCCACCGGTGGTAATATACCGGGTAAATCGGCTTTCGTCGAACTGCAACAGCATGCTGCCGCGGGGTAAGTTAATAATAAGAAAAAGAGTATTTCAAAGTATTTGTGTTCTTAAGTGTTAATTTTGAAAACTTCGCATATAACCGGATGGGGTTTTGACAATATGTTCATTACCTTGGACGTAGTGTTATCGTCATTAATTCTGGATGCCTATTCTGTGGAATATTGTTTTGCTTCTGAAGTACTTCTCAGAAGTTTTCAAAGCTCTAGTTCTTATAGTAGTCATACACTAGTTCAAGTTCTAGTTGAAAAAAAATTTGCAAAATTAAAAACCTTTATTCTGAAAAACCTGATTCCAGAACGGGGTACAAACAGAAATTCATCATAAAAATATTTCTTTATTCACCAAAAATCTGAATGTAAAGAATACAATGAAAATTTCATTTAAAAATTGTTAATAATCTACAATTACAAGGGGAAAATTAGACAAACCTGTAAACTCGTATTGTCAGTTAAACAATTTGTAAGAAAAATATAAATTTTATTATTTAATTCAAAGGATAGAAACTTAAAGAGTTTGAAGAATAACCGAATTTCCTTAATTTCCTGAATCATATCAATATTAACTTCAACTTTTGATTCGTAAAAGATGTTCAACGTTTGCGTCGGTTAAGTCGACTTCCTCTTTGATCGAGAATTAACTTGAGGCTGGAAAGTGGGAATTCACATATTCCAAACATCGATAGATATTTTACCCAAAGCACTTTTCCACTAGAAAGTGGTAGGCGCTCACCCAATCTCATCCTCTTTATTTCTTCCTGAATTATAGGACTTTGCATTTTCAGATTACACAATAAAGGATTATCGTGTAATTCGACTTCTATAAGTTCATGGAAAATGTTTGAATTTTCAATTTTCCTGAAATTATAGATTAAGCTCGTTATGTCAGTCAAAAAAGCTAAATTGAATATAAACTTTAGATTTTTCAAATTACCAAGTAATTCATCCATTCCCGCGGCTTTATCATGATTCCCAAGACTGAATAGTCTTTGAAGAATACTTCCTCTAGAATCTAACATCTAACTTCGGTGGAAAGCAGCTAAATCACCCAATGCTGCATCTAATTCTTCAAGTAATTCCCCGAATTTTATTACAATTTTATTGGAAATTTTTTATTTGTGTATCCATTACATTCCGATTTTTTCGTGAATAATACTTGCTGATGAATGATCCGAAGAAAAGCTAATATATTGAAATTGTTTGTTATCAAATTTCCTAGTAAACCTTTAGGTTTTCCTAAACGTTTTGCACCATTCGTGCCCAACGAGCTTAATTTGTCTTTATTCGCAACGGACACGACTTCTTCATATACTATAGCGAATGAAAGTTTTCCTTTGTCCCTTTCATGTAAACTAGTCTTATCAAAGTTGCTATCAATCGGGGCAATTGCTTTCATATCAGTCCTTTCATCTAAACATTTGACATAGAATTTACAGTTCTGTATTCTATTCCCTAAATTCAAGTAGATGAAGTCACAAATAGTTTCAGTTCGACGCTCAATTGGCCGAGAAGTATCTGAGGGTATCATTTATAATTACCCGAAGTTCTTCAAACTTTCATCGCGTTCATATTAGTCTTTTTATCTAAACATTTTACATAGGATTTACAGGTCTGAACTCTATTCCTTAAATTCAATTAAATGAAGTAACAAATAGTTTCAGTTCGCCGCTCAATTGGCCGAGCACTTAAGGGGGTATCATTTATAATTGTCCGAACTTCTTCAGCCTTTTCTCCTAGGCAACCTGGCACATGTGGTTCAATTCCTTGAAAAATTTACCATTCTCGAAAGGACGGCAACGCTTAGCCTAGAAACAAGCAAGAATATAAGAGGCCTTTCTCTTTTCACAGCCACCTCTTGTGTCATCGGCTGTAGAATCCTGTGAATCTAAAATTTTCCGCTTACCACGGGAGATATTGACATATGCACCATGCAACGTTTGGAAATTTAATTTTTTGTTTGGTATTTTGTACGCTAAAGTTAGTTGGCATACCAGAGTATAAAGTCATATATAGGCCATCCGACGGATTTCGTTATTAAATTTGAAGAAAAAGAAAAGGGCACCAAACCCTTTCGCGAAAAGGGGCTTCTGCGTAGCTTTTAGGTAATGCCATTCGACGGATTTCGTTATTTGATTTGAAGAAAAAGAAAACCGCCACCAAAAGCTTGTTAAAGCTTAAACCTATTCCTATACTTCAAATAATCATTTATGTCTTTGGAGTTAAAAAATCGGGAAAAGGGGCTTCTGCATAGCTCTTAGGGAAATAAGTAATGCTTTCGATAAAGAACAAAAACTTTTTAAAAGTATAAAGCTGGATTTTTTAAAGATCTTCATAAACCATACGACGGATTTCGTTCAAAGGAATTCAGAAGTGCTGCTTTGAACAAAACAAGTCCATTTGTCAAAAGGTTACAAATAATTTGAACTATCATCATATTTAGTTAAGCGGGAAGACCGCTTTAACTATAACTATTTGTTAAAGTTAAAACCTATTCTAATACTTTAAATTATCAGATAGGTTTTTGTCAAGTGAAAAGCACCGATAAGAGGGCTTCTGCGTCGCTCAGTGTGTAATTGGTCCCTGCGCATTCTTACGTTGGATTTTGAATTTCAAATCTTTACTTCTAGTAGGCTACCAGTTAGGATTTGAAGCCGAAAATTTAAAAAATTTAGAACCTTTCGAATTTATTTTTTTTTCACAATATTATTTGTGTTGGTTGGTCTTAAAAAGCGGAAGTTCTTAATAAATTTCAATAATAAAACAAAATATAAAAAAAATATATTTTACTTCCATATTGCACAAGTATTTTTTATCTCATATTATGCAGGTTTGCTTTAGTTTATTACACTTTCAATTTACCATTTACACTTGAGTATAGTATGGCGAGCTTAGAAATTGGAAAGAAAAAAGTAAAAAAAAAAATTTTCATTCCTCTTGGGATGAAAACTATAAAGATTTTTCAAATGATTCTGATACCTACCAACGGGATCAGACGTTTCTTACTATTTTTGAAATAAATCCTATATTTTTCTGCAGATATTGGAAGTTTGTTCCGTAACTCGATTAAAAAGGAAAATTATCGAATTTATCAGCTTATTGTGTAGAAGAAGTTTTCCTTAGAGAGTAAATTCGGGCACAAAGTCCTCTTGATTTATAATATTTTGCTAAAGATGTTTGTCAACTAAGCTCGCTTTTAAAGTGTTAAGTGTATTAGTATTACTACCGCAGTACACACTTTAACAACAATTAATTTTATAGTTTTTTTTTTGTTTCCATTCAAACGGAAATATTGCATATGAATTGAGGAAATTTATTTAGTTCTGAAACTTTTTAAATTAAGTTATAAATTCGATATAACAAATGAAAGGAATGAATGGAAAACCCCTTAGTTCATAACCAAACTTTCTATAATAAATTAAATAATATTTAAATATTTTATAAATAATACAATAAAAACAGCTTCCTACTTTTAAACTGTTAGCTTTTTTCCACCTTCTTTAAGGTTTAACAACATTTAGCGCTTTTTAGGTTATAGAACAAAACTTAAAACCTTTAATCTGTTTGATATATAAGAATTTAGGAAAATTTTCTATTATGTAATAAAATCTTGAATTATAAAGCAGCATTTCTAAATAAATTTTTCTTGAAAATTTTTAACATAGCCAGTTCTACGATGTCTGTCCATCTGTCTATACAAACTGTTTTTATCAAGATGGATATTCAACCCATATTAATATATAAATAAGGATTTTGGAAAATTTAATATTAATTGACAAAATCTCGAATTATGAAGCGGAATTTTTGTATAAAATTTTATTAAAAATTTTTAACTGGGCCAGTTCCACGATGTCTGTCCATCTGCCTATAAAAAAATGTTTTTATCAAGCTGGATATAGTAATTCTATTCAACCCATTTACCAATTTTTTAGATTTAGCGAAATTTGGTATTAAGTGCTAAAATCTTGAATTATAAAGCGGAATTTCTGTATAAAATTTTATTGCAAATTTCTAACTGAGATAATTCCGCAATGTCTGTCCATCTGCCTATAATTTTTCTTTTTTTTTTATCAAGCTTGAGATTGTAACTCATTTGATTTCTTGCGCGATCTATAAAATTTTTAATATTTTTTGTTGTTGTTGTAACAGTTCTACTGTGGCTAATGGTTCTTTCCTGGTTCAAAAAGTTTCGCTTAGTATACATAACTGTCGCTGGGTTGACAATATTTTGGTTAGTTTGAAACAAGCCGTAACGGGGAGAAGATCTTATTATCTCAATCAGGTTTTGTTTAATTTAAATCTGGAGGAATCGGTGTTCAGAATAGTTTCCTGGCGTCATTTTGATACAACCTCTTCGACAATATTTGAAAAAAGTCGAAATCTTGGACTTTATTCAATTGACTTGAGTTTCGGCCAGAATTCGAATCTATCGATAGATAGCTAGATCGATAGATAGATAGATAATAGATAATAGCTAGATAGATATAGATAGATAGATAGATAGAATTAGTAGACATAGATAGATAGATAGATAGAGTCGATAGATAGATAGATAGTAAGATAGATAGATAGGATAGATAGATAGATCTGATTAGATAGATAGATAGATAGATAGATCGATAGAATAGATAGATAGATAGATAGATTAGATAGATGATAGATAGATAGATAGAGAGATAGGATAGATAGATAGATAGATAGATAGGATAGATAGATAGATAGATAGATAGATAGAGATAGATAGATAGATAGATAGATAGATAGATAGATAGATAGATAGATAGATAGATAGATAGATAGATAGATAGATAGATAGATAGATAGATAGATAGATAGATAGATAGATAGATAGATATATAGATAGATAGATAGATAGATAGATAGATAGATAGATAGATAGATAGATAGATAGATAGATAGATAGATAGATAGATAGATAGATAGATAGATAGATAGATAGATAGATAGATAGATATATAGATAGATAGATAGATAGATAGATAGATAGA